TCTCCCAAATATAATTGGTCATTCACATGGCAGTTTGTGGGACATTGCTGTGTGCAAATTGGCTGCCATGTTAGCCTACAAAATATATCCTCACTGTGGTTTATAGTAAATCCTGTTTTGATAGGTCACCCTGACAAATGCAAGGATTTTTTATTATACGATTTCCAGGTGCAAGACTTGTCGGCACCAAACAACTCTTATTTGAATTTGTAAGCACAGGGTTAATAAAATGCATATTTTTGTTCCCAATTTTGAATTATTTTCTCTCCTTTTTAGTTCTCCCAAACCATGCATCATCATTCCCCAGCTGAGAAAGCAGGCAGGCAATCTGTCAGTTTTCTTCCTTTGTCACTCTAAGCAACTGGTATTAATTGAGAGTTAGGACTCTGCATGCAAAAGAGTTGAATTAACATGCATAGTTGAAACTGAAGCACTGTTTTGAAAATGATTTATTTCTCTACTCATATGAGTTCAGTTCATTTGAGCTGTGGAGGCAGTAATTCCCCCCAGTCAACCCTGTATTAATGATTGTCCACTAACATTAGCTCAATGTCCTCACGCTGCTTTGCGTCACTTTTTGCTTAAAGCTGTGGGTCCCTTTCTGCCCCATCTCATCAACATTTATTGCTTGAACAAAAATCATGACAGAAATAATCAAGACAAGGAAGAACATGATGAAAAGGCCTTTAACTTGATGAGAATTGTTTTATAACAGTTTTTTTTTAAAACAAGGTACAATAACCATTCTTGTTCAAAGCTAGGAGACGAAGCATGCAAGATACATTTACTCCTCTGTGATGTAGGTTCAAATCCAACCCAGCTGATGTGATAAACGTCTGTTACGTCTGTTAATAATGAAGGCCGAATGTGAAATGCGTTTGCAGTTTTAGCCCATTTGTTGCTGGGGCTGAGCTCACAAACAAAGCTTAGAATCAGTCTTGCATTGAAGATATTCACTGAGCAGAATTTTAGGATTTCTGGTATGGGAAACAGAAAATACAGGAGAAGGTATTCTCTTTTTGTTGGGGGCATGAAGAGTTAGGGTAGTGTGGAGGGAGATTTTTTTATTATTTTGCATCTAACTGTGTTATACTTTATCTAGAGAGTATGATGTTGAAATTGATGCTCACTGCATTAAACATTCTTTTTCCCAGGACTAATTCCCTCACCTTGAATGGCACAAACATCATTAACAAAAATGGATAAACAAATGAATAGACATAAATAAAAGTTTGCTGCTCCAAAACACAATTCAAAGGTTGTTTCTCTCTTAGACAACCTAAAACACAACACAAAATGTTCAGAAATATCATAATATGATTATTATGATTTATACTACAGTGAATGATACATATTCCCTCACCAAATTGATGCTGTGCTATAAATGTATCCATCATTTGGTGCTGTTTCCTTTGAGGTCCCTGTTAGTCTTACCTATTTTGTCCTTTCACCAATGTTTTCCCTCCTCGTCCATATTAAATGTGTATGTTGCATGACAGACAGAAAATACAAAAGTAAAACTAATGTCTGGTAGCAAGCTTAAAGCAGCATAGTATTGCAATCTCATGATTCTGATGACGTCACCCTCCCCCTAACCCAGATCACACACAAAATGAAGTTTATCTGGCTTTTGAATCCTAAATGAGCATCAGAATCATTTCCTGCATTACTGCTGCCTGGTAACTTGGTGGTTACTGGCTGTTATTCTTCGTTGCGATGATTTTTGTTCTTCCTAACTTAACCATTTAGTCTGTATTTCAATGTTCATTGCTGACCTCTGTTGTTTGATCCATGACATTACACATCTTATCTGTGAAAGGAATCACCTTGGCCGACTTGCTTGATAAGAAGAAGGGAAAGTTTGGTTGGTTTAGTCACTCCAGTGAAACTCATGGTAATGTTAACCACTAACATTTGTAACTGGTGTTTCCATGCTGTGTCTGTAAGTTGTCTGTAAGTCTTGTTGTCTGCAAGTTGTCTGTAAGTAACCTGTTCCTGTGTTTGTTTTAAAAGGTAAAAGTGTTAGTCACTGTTGTTGCCTGCTTTTGTATGTTCTAAAAATGTTTTACTTAAAAGTTTACACAATTATCCTGTAAACACATTTTTTTATCTGTCATTTCTACATTGATAGAATACATACACTGAAATCTATTTATATCCATCCCTGTTATAGCACCACTTTTGTTATTTACTGCACTCTCATTCCAAGCTACTAAGTTAAAGCACTATATTTGCATTCTGTCCCCATTTTAAGTTCTCAGTTATAGTACCTCTGTTTGTATTCCACCCTCCTTAACAAGTCTCTCATTTGTAATACTAAAACTTTTTATTTTGCAGCCTATTATTATAAGATTCTTAATTATAATCTGTCACAAGTTCATTAGATCTGGGATTCCAATTTGTCCATGTTGCAATTGTTGCTATGCTATGAAGATATGTCTTCAAAGCACTCGCCTTGTTCTTATTTGGAGTTACAGCTTCCACTGGAGGATATAAATTCTGAATAGCCAGTTGCTAGACCACAATTTCTGTAAGTTGTTTTGTACTCCCAAAATTACCAGAGTTGGATTACTGAGCTATCTATCCTTGCTATGGTGTCTTTGACTCCATTTTGTTGCTGTACCAACCTAATTTACAGAAGCAAAATCCTACACACAAAACAATTTTAGAATCAGAATGGAGTGATGATTGTAACTGATACATGTAAATGCTTGTGATATTTATGAGAAGCTATTCAGATAGAAGAACTAGAATCTTAGATGTAATATTTTTATGTATGTGTTTTGAACTCCATTCACATAGCTTGAAAGACTCTTTTAAGACCTATTACTATTTTGCAGACCCTGGGAGAAGCATTCAGGGTGGTAAGTGTGTGTTTATGAAATGTGAAGAGGAAACCACCTGAATATACTTAGGGGAGATATTCCAACTGGGTCTCAATTTACTCTATTTATGCAGCATTTTAGAGTGCGAAGATTATGGAAAATAGCTTAATTCGGTCTTAATTTACTTAACTGAAACAAATTTACAGAAAACTGACTACATTGAAGAATTTGCTAATTTCTTAATGCTCTAAAAGGCTACTTAAATAGAGTAAATCTTGACCCAGGTCACATTTCTTCCTCCAAATTTTGCTCAGAAGATTTTGATTTGTATGTGAAAGTTTAATTTTTTAAAAAAAATAATAGTAAGGAACCATTTGGATGTTATTTCAAATACAGGTAATTGCATTCTCAAAATATAGAAGTCACACATATGAGTGGTGGCCAGGATTTCTCTCAGATTTGAGGCTCCTTCACTTACAAACCAAACCACAGATTTTTTTTCTTTCCAGNTTTTACAAAATAAAATCCACATTAACCTGCAATTTTTGAATAACACTCGTGTGGATTATTTTGCTATTAATGTGAATTTGACTTGTTAGTTAAATAACTAAGTGGCCTTAATTTGCATAATTATGGAAATAAAAAAATGTTAATAGTTTTGCTTCAAACGTGAGTTTTGTTTACAGAGCAGTGGGTTTCCACTCCTTTTTAGGTACAGTACAGTATGTTTGTTGTTTTTGGTGTACATGAGAGTTTCTTTCTGTGCTCATCAAGGTGAGGGACATCTATCCTAGGGAATGAAACACTTCCATTTTTGGCACTTGATACGTCCTTGGTCGGGTATAGTTTTATCTTACACTGCCCTACCTGATCCAGGTTCAGTCATATACTTTGTGAGCTAGATGTGGCGTGTAGGACTCTTTGTTTTGGTTCAATAATGTTCCAGCCCAACAATGTTAACCTTTTTTAAAATTAAATTAACCATCAGAACATTCAGACATCCCTGTCTTTACTGACAGAAGCCTGAAGCACAGATAGTTCCAAAATGTTCTTGTCTCAATTGCAGAAGCAACGATTTTGTTTCATTGAAATGGGAAAGACAATAAAGTTAATGAATTCCTGCATTAATGGCAGTCTCTTAAGTAGAATTCCTGTTGACTATTTTTCACAGGGATTTGTTATGTTAACAACATTGCTTGTTATCCTCTACCACAAAACCACCTTTACAACACCAACAGCTCTTTTGTTAACTATTTTGAAAGAACATCTGGTGTTCAGATCTTTTTCTTTTCATTTCCTCTGGTATTCCGTTCATTAGACAACCTTTCTTTCTGCATTATATGGAGAGTAACTTGGATCTGACAGCAAATTATTGTTCATTCATGAATGTGAAAGTCTCTTAAACCCCAGGCAATAGTGGTGCTACAAGAGTATTTATATGAGTGAAAGTATGCTGCTGAGAGATATTTTGTTTTATGGTAGTAAGCATTCCCTGGGGTGTAAGTCAGCCATAAAATGAATTATAGAGGGTTTTCCCCATTGCTGCTGAATCCAAAGTGATACTTCACACTCATGTATTATTGCTTTGCATTATATGGAGGACAGGGAATTAATTTGTAATTCTCCATCCGTAAAAGTGAGATATATGTTTATGGTTCAGCATCTTTTTTTAACCAAACCTTCGTTACTTTTATACCATCATTTAACAAAATAAAATAACCCAATGGAAAGTATACTGGATGAGTGGTAGAGGATTACCGACAATCTCAGGATTCAGATGAATAATACCAAAGATTAGGCGACCAATATTATAATCAACATAAGTAAGTTAATGTAAAGCAGTGTAGATTGTCTTAGTTAGGATTTTGTAATTCATTTACACACATTTATTATGCTATTAAATTGGGGATGGAAACAATGTATCTTCCCAAGACAGTGGATAGTCAAATAAAATATTTCTCTATACATTTAATGATGATTCTGATGATCAATAATGGTCTATAATCTGCATATTGTTGCCACTCTATGTTCAACAGATTGAACTATAGATGCTACTCAATATTTTATAAGACAGCAATAGATATGTGTTGGTTTTGATTGATTTATCTTGAAATGTATTAATATTAGTGCATTAATCCTCTTTTTTTCCCTTTTTTAACTTTTTGACCCCTGCAGTGAGCATGCCCACTAGCGAAACTGAGTCTGTGAACACTGAGAATGTGGGTGCTGCAGAAATAGAAGACTTGACCTGCTGTGCAAGTCTTGGGTAAGTCTTCATATATGGTACGTATAACTGAAGATTTAGCAGGACCCAAGGACGACAGCCTCGATTAGCACAACAGTAGCAACAATCTAGATGCAGAAGAAAGTCTCTTTACCATTGCATACCTTTAATATCCTATGAAGAGTCTACCATCTTGACTTTCGATCAACCTAGGCTATTACATAAATAGGCTGTTTCGTTGGTTGGAGAAGCCGTAACCAAGGGACAGATGTAAGATAGTGACGAGGAGATCTAAAAGATAATTTAGGAGGAACTTCTTCACCCAGAGGGTAGTGAGATTGTGGAGTTCACTGCCTGAAGCAGTTATTGAATCAGATACTGTAAATGCATCCAAGAGAAAGCTAGATCTTCGTATAAGAGAGAGGGTAATATAATGGTGTGGGAGAGAGTAAGGAATGGTCGAAGACTCATGTGAAGTATAAACACCAGCAAGGACTGGTTGTGCCGAATGACTAGTTTCCTTGCTGTACATTCTTTGTAATCTATTATGCAACATATTTTTTTTTAGACCTGATCACAAGGTCACTTGCTAAACCTATCTGACAATTGTAATATCTGAGAAGTACTCAGATAGTTAATGTATTATTGTTTAATGTAATAACTCCTTGCTTAATTTTTATCCAGTAGTAATATTAAAAGAATACAAGAAGGAAGTGGATGATTATATGAGCATAGGAACAGGAGTATGCCATTCAGACCCTCGAGCCTGTTCTGCCATTCTATACGATCACAGCTGATCTGTACCTCAACTCCAATTACCTATCCTTGCCCTATATCCCTTCATACCCTGACCTAACAAAAATCTATCCACCTCAGTCTTGAAAAATTGAATCGATCCAGAATCCACAGGAGTGCTAGAACATTGATCTTTCACCTCTATGTCTGGGCTTGGATCAAGATGAAAGTCTCCATCCTAAAAGTATGGGATACTGTCTACCCTTTGTGCAGTTATCCACAACACAAAAATATTCATACTTTTGCATAATGTTGGCAACTTAATTCAGTGATGATCAATGGGTAACAAATGTAAAAATTCAATTGAGTACCAAAGGGGTTAATCCTGTGTTGACTCCTGTTACAAAGTAATTGCAAATCATTCCAGAATTCATCACAACTTATTTTAGAACTACCTATCATAAGTGCACATAACTATCAGTATGTCAAACATTAGTAGGCATTAAAATGAGCTCTGTTTTTTAACCTGGCTAAAATCCAAACCACTGGACAGAAAAACAAAGAGTTCTTGTAAATAATATAATATTTTGTAAGCCTTTGTAAGTCTGGGAAGTTTTTGGTTGTCTTTTGAGAATATCATCTGTTGTAGAGATTCCTGGTTGTCCAAGTTTAGAGATTCAATTTAAGTTCCAAAATTAGAGCATGTCTTGTAGATGGATCAGCATCAATAATGGTGACCAAATATCCTCTCACAAGTTAACCAGTTTAATACTGCTGTTTTGACTCATCAAAGTGGTGAGCTGAATTTCTGTTACATAATTAACATGAGGTTGAGCAGTGCCAGAACAATCTGTTGATTGCTGGGAGTGTGAGTGCAGGTGATGTAGAATTTGCAGTTGAGGTAGGGCAGTAATTAAAGTGACATAAAATCAACAATTAAAGAGAAATGCTCATCCATAAAGACAAAATGCATCAATGCATTAATGTGAAATGAAACTATTCAATGCAAAGATATGGCTTTAGGAAAAGAAGGTCCTGTTTTATCAACAGGTAGAGATTTTTCTAAATTTCCCTGATGTTGTGGACAAGGATAATTTAGTTGATCTTTTATACTTGGGTTTTCAGAAATCTTTTGACCAGGCTCCACATCAAAGGTTCATGATTAAGGAGACACTGCATAGAGTGGAAAGCGTGGCACTCTTAGGTTAGAAAGAGGTAATGGGCAGCGTGGATTTGTAAGCTGTAAATGAACGATCTGGTTGAGGATAATCCTAACAAAAACTTCCAAGTTCACAAATGATAGTAAAATCGAAAGTCTAGTTCTTGACTCATTTAAAAGGGAGTAAGTTATTTGGATTATTTGGTTTACCTACAAAAAGATCATTAGATTAGTTCAGAGGATGAAAGCCCTTCAAACTCATCTGAACTCATCCTTCCAGAATACCCGCCCTACTGTCTTACCATCACAGCATCAAGCTGTTTTTAAATAAATCTAGCATTCTGGCAATCTATTCCAGTTGTTCGTTACCTTCTGGATAAAGAAAAACTTCCTGGTATCTATCCTGAAATTGCCACTTGCAACTCTAAACCTATGTTCTCTTTTTCTCGTGTCTTGGTGCATCCTTAAATATTGTTCTGGGTTTACTTTATCAATTCCATTTAAACATGTTATACACCTCTGTAAGGGCCCCACTGAGACATCCCTAAAGACTGAAGAGCCCAAGCTTATCTAATCATCTTTGGCAAAGATTTGTTTTATTGTTTCCGTAGCAACATATGTCACACCAGTGGTGTGATTTTACATTCGTAACTGTTAAAAATAGTGGGAACAACTTTCTTCTGTCCAAGTCAAACCCTCACTTCAAAAATACAGAACATAACTTTGCACAGATTTGCGGTTTAAGCAGGTTGTATTCTCTTTTGCTAACTCTTTGGGCATTGATTTTCATTAGATCAGAAAGTAAATAGATTTGGCTTAACATGTCACAATTAAGATTTAAAATGAATTCAACTCTTTATACAATGATCCAACTGAATTTGACTAATTACATTGAGAGCTATTTGAATTGATTTTGTTTAAGTTCATCTTTATTTAACAGATAATAAATGTAGCAAAATAACAGAGTTAACAGTGACTCATATCCTTCTTTTAGAAGCAAAAAGGAGCCAAATTATTAATAGTGAAATTTTACACACCTCAACTTTTGAGAAACCACTTTTCTGTTGTTTTTTAAGTCAGAAGCACAAACAAGATTCCCTGTCTTGACTTTCCTGCTACTGTAAACAGTGCAAGCACCAACATTTTTAAAACCGTAGAATGCTGCCAAACTGGCTAGCTATGATCTGTTCACTTGTACAAGGATGACCAAAATTTTGTGAAGCTACACTATTATCTAAAAAAAATCATCATTTCATTAAGACTTATTAGACATTGCAATGGTATCACAACTTTTTGGTCACCCTATATTTACCACTTGCAGAGGTTCATTTGTGGTAATATAATATATGAAAAAATGTGCTCTATTGTTAAGAGGAAGTGCCAAATTGCTTCTATAGAAGGAGGCAGCAAGTCTTTGGCTCATCAGGCTCATGGTGGGTGTGTTATTTGGCTTATTCTTATTCTCTCCTTTTGCTTTTAAACAGCTGTGGACTTTAAATAGGGGAAAGGTTTATCACAAGGATATTGAGAATCCCAAGCTTATAGAGTTTCTTGACTGTCTCTGAACTGTCTTCAAATTTGTGATCAACACTTGGCTTTAGAACAGTTATTCTAGCTAATGTAATCTCATGCAATAGTCAATCTACTCATAAAAGACTAATGCTTAAATTTTAACTCTTGAAGAGGGGCATTGCTTTCTTGAGAATGCTTTTGGTTGCAAATATTGATCTTGACAGTGTAGAAGTATACCACGTTTTATATATGATGAAATTGACTACATTTTTTTGACTTCCCACTGAATCAAAAAGATCTTTGCAGAACAGTACTTTGCATTGGTTCATGAAGTTAGTTCCCCTTTAAAAGCAGAGTATGTTTATTTAAAGTTTAATTTTATCTGGAATAAAATCTTAAATAGTTGATATTTTAAAACAATTTCCAACACCATGTCAAGATTACATTCATGCTAGATACAAACTCATCCCCTAATTTGACCTAAACAAAAGGAGATATATGTGGTCTTGTAACCCAAAACCAAATCCTGCCCTAATATAGATATGTAATAACTGCTAGGCTGTCTGTTGTTACCAGCACAAAGACTTGGATTCCTATTCTGTCTCAGATGTCAATTTCAACAGATTATTTCACAGTTTGCATATGTGTGTGGTGTAACCAAGGAAAGTCGGTTTAATCCTAGGTCAAAGTTCAAGTTCATTGATGCAAAGAAATGTAATGTGTAATCTCAATTTCCATACAATGAGCTAATATAGGTGTATTTATTCATGAAACAAAAATACTGTAGAGTCAAAATATTTGTAGGGTACAATGTGATCATATCTAGGATAGTCACATCATATCCTAGAAGATGTCAAAATATTTGCTGCATGTTTGCAGAGTTCTCTTTAATTGATCACACACAATCATGTTACAGTGCACAGTATAATGCCAAGAGAAGATCAGTTGTTTTTTCATGGGGATGGGAGGCACGAAGATGAAGAGGAAGTCATCATGGGTTCACGCTTCTGCACCTTTTAATGGCCTTGTTTAGTTTAACATTAAAAGAAGATGGGGAGGAGGTCACACCCTTTCAGCCACGGCTGGAACATGAGCCAGGGAGTCGAGAAAAAAGAAGAAAAATTAATGTATACAAAAGAGGTATTCATATTCCAAACCAAGTACCAACATTTATGTAATTATTCTGTGTGGAAGGGACACTTTTGTTGCATTTCTACATTTATGTGAAATGCCTCTTCCAAATTCTCTCTCTCTATATACAATATATATATATTAGCATAAAACATTTTACTGTTTGACTGGTGGACAAATGCTTGGTATCTGAATTAAATATTATAGACTTAGTGCTATTTTATGATATTTTCACACAGCCCCTTAGCATCTGACATCTGGATATATTTTTACATCTTTGTATTCCCCAATGGCATTCTCTTTTTCACCACCTGCAAGAATTCAGTTCCTTGGCAAATTAGGCAACACTCCAATATCTGTTGGCATTTCACACTGCAAAGCTTAAACTTATTTGGCAACTTTCCAAGAAACATTACCCAAGTGTATATTATAGGAAAAACAAAACACACAGTGACAGTGTGGTTTTAAAATTTAGGAAGAGCATAAACTGACAGCTGCATAGCTT